CTGCAATTCATAGTCCAACTTAACTGAAGAACGTAGTGTACTAACTGAGAACACAACAGATCACTGTTCTAGTTGACAAGTTATTGTATCGAATGACAACACAATACACTGTTACTTGAGTTGACAAGTCATTGCACCGGAAAGATAAGGAGTCGTTATAAATAGTTGTTCATATCCATTTTGATTGTATCACATTACTTTTCCCCTTGCAACTATGGACTCACCTGTACCACATAGATGGAGCAACGAAGAGGAGGTCGCTTTGGTTCAAGCTTGGATCATAACTGTAGAGGAGGATTTTCCACTAGGTCCGCCACAAGTTCGCGTTGGATCATTTTGGTCTCGTGTCTGTCATTTGTTTCATCATCAAATGGGGCGTACTCAATATCGAAGAAGAAGAGATGTCAAAGCGAAGTTTCTGGATTTGAAAAGAAAGGTCAAGCATTTTCAACGTATTTATAACGAGCTGGATAATGAACATGCGAATATAGATGAAGACATTCTCATACAAGTGGCTTTGGAACTATACCGTTTCGAATCTGATGGTAGAGAGTTTACCCACGGAGATGCATGGAATCTTTTATAGAATGTCCCTCACTTTTAATATGCATGTTGGTTAAGTTAATTGTTTTTCGTTAGTTAAGTTGCTTGTTGTTGCACGTGTGTTTTGTGACTAGTTAATAAATCTCTCTTACTTTTAATGTATGTTGTTTCCTCAATCGCAATTAAAAATGAATTAAGATAACAGGTACATAAATTAGTAATACATAATACGACATAAAATGAAAACAGGGTGCATCAATTAAGATACCAGGTACATAAATAACTAATACATAATAGGACATAAAATGCAAATGGGGTACATAAATAACTACTTCTTTTAGGGAGTTAACAGTACCACCCTTTCATTTGGTATTTCCCAGTGCACATGTAATGGTATAGATTCACCATCTCGGATCCAAATGCAAGTCGATACACGAAAGCAGTGAGCTTATAATCAACCATTTCGTGAATGGCTTCAGACGTACGAGTTCTTAGAGATGCTATAGCGTGGCCACATGGTATACAACTTTTTTGCCATTTCCCAAAACTGCATACCCTAAGTTCAAGTTGTACTTTGTTGGTGGCAAAATTGTCATCGACTTCAAATATATCCCCATATAAACGTCTTGCCATCCAATTATAAGGCTAGTTGATACGTTTTTGAACCTTATTCTCAACATAAGGGGTCACCCCACCAGACAACCTCCCTGCAAAATTTGTTAATTTTAAAATAATAATACAATAAAAAACTAAATTTAACAATCTCCCTTACCCGCCACTTCAGCCCGTTCAGCATACTTTGATTGTATCGACGTATTGATTAACTTAATTGTCGTTGTTATAGGAAACTCACTTGTGGACGTGGATATAATTTGCAACATTTCAGGGACATCAATCGATTTAACATTGTAACGTACTTTTGGGAAAAATGCTCGTGTCCATTTTGAAATTGCTATATCGTCAAGCCAGAAAATTGGACTCCTAAGCATGGTGCAGAAAGCTGGTTTCCTACAGGCACTTTGCAACCTTTCCAGACACATGTAAAAATCATGAACACTATATGCATTGCATGACTTCCAAAACAACGTTTCAACTTTCGTATCATTATGTCCGACAGAGTCACATATTTTTCGAGCTATATCTTTAGGACAATATCCACGATACGGAGTATATCTTCAGGACAATACCCTAAATGGAGCCGTATTTTTCGAGCTATATCATTAGGATAATACCCTAAATGGAGCCGCAAATCCTAAGACAGAGTATTTTAAAGTTTGGCGATGCTCAGGCAGTGATAAATATTTATTTATCTTGTTCCACGTATCCTCAAGGTCCTCATAGGTAAAATCCCATAAATAGCTACCCCAAGCAAAACTAACAAAACAAATAAATATTAATTATAATATAAATTAACATTAATAATATGAAACTTTCAAAGTAAACAAAAAAAATACCTGTTCCAGACATCTAAATTCTCAGCCAAAAAAACTAATCTTGCGGCACCCGATAATTTATTTCTTTTCCCAAAAAAACCTTCACACAAAATATATATCAAACATACTCTAACTGCATCAGCGTCGCCAACTTCTAAGAATGGTTGATTTAAAATAAAACTTTTCAGGTCATCGATTTTCACCGAACTATTTGTATAGTTCGGAAATAGTCGTACACACAATAAACATCTTTTTTTACTACTAACTATTTTTTCTGACACTTTTTTCCCGATATTTTTTGAATACTCCCCAAAATTCAACTCGGTTATCAAACAAAATTCTTCCGGATCATATATCATTTTCGTATCACTCACTCTAAAATATAACCGTTTTATCCCATCCGGAGATAAAACAACGTTCGACCATATTTGATGAAGAAACATCTTGTGGAACAACAATCCGTCCCCTTGTAAACGAGGGACGTCCAACAAGTAACCAAATATCGTATCTCTAAAGATATCACGTCTGACACCATCTAACACATCAAATACTTCTCATATATTACACCCTTATCATTTTAAGTTGACAATAACTTTAACATTGAAATTATTATAATCATGCTGCACAAAAAACAATAACATATTATAAAACTAAACAACTATTTCATTTTAAAATATCAGATTATAAAATGCAATAATAATCCAACATTCAAATTACAAACATAAACAATAATAACAATGCAAATACTAACATTTAATCAAATAATTTATATTATATATTTACGTTGAAAAACAATAACATACTGTATAAACGACAACTATATAAACAATTTTCCAAGTTATACGACAAGTATACAAACAACTATATAAAATAACATATTCTAACCATACTATAACAATTTCTCAACTTAAACAACAAATATATACAAAATTTCAAGTTATACGACAAGTATACAAACGACTATTGTAAACATATTGTAAACATTATTTTAACCATTTTTCAAGTTTTAAAACCACTTATACGATAAGTATATACAATTTTTCAAGTTATACATACAACAACTATACAAACAACAAATAACATATTCCAATTAAGAACTTAAAAAACCACTTATACGATATAAATTTTCAAGTTATAAAACCACTTATACGATAAGTATATACAATTTTTCAAGTTATACATACAACAACTATATCAATTTATCAACTTAAACCACTAACCAAACATTTTCTAAACATTATGGTAACAATTTATTTAACTAAGAACTTAAAAAAAAAAATAATATATTCTAACCATTTTACTAAATGTATAACTAGCCAATACACATTCTACTCAGTCTATATTTGTACGTTCATACCAACTAAACAACCTATAATTATATATATAATTAAAGCTCAACATCGTTGTGAACAGTAACTAACCTACGTACTGTTCATCGGTTAAATAAACTCCACCCTGGTTATGTCCACTGTTTCGATTATATTTCACCCCCCTTTCTCTTTATTGACTGCTTCTCCCTTAATCGAATCAATGGTAACCCAAAGCCTAGAGACGGAATGAGACCGAACAGAGGGAGGGAGGGAGGGTTTAGGGCTTTGGTAGGATACTTTAAGAAGCATGTCAACCTGATCATGAAATGCTTGATTCATTTGGTCTGCTTCTGAAACAATTGGTTTTTCCACACATTAGTTGTGAAGAAAAAGAGGTGCATATTTGACGGTTGAACAGAAATATACTATATTTATCTTCAAAATAGAAATGAATTGTTTGATTTTGGAGAAAAAGTTAGTAACTTCACAGAATTGAAGTGACATAACAGCTTCATTCCGATATTTTAGTGTTTCTTTATAAATGTATGATTGGAAATGATGTAGGAGAAGGGAGTTGGATCTTTCACAAGAAGAAAAATTCAAAATTTTAGTTGCCCTTCCAAAAGATTATACAGATTTGGAACGGTAGTCACAATGGCTTGTACGACTTTTTAACAAAAAGCTTTACTGCAATACTTTCCGTGTCGATGACAACCATTGTTTAACTCAATAATTTGTGAGATTGCAGTTATGAATCTTGCTAAATATGACAAACTTTGTTGTCATCTGTAACATTTAGGAGGTCTGTTTTTTGAATAGGTTATTTTTTAATGTCAAATGCATTTGGTATCTGTTTCATTGTGTTATCATATTATATTACTTTGAAAATGAGTTTTGAGCCCTAATATTTTATAACTTGCTTTCCCTGTAGCTTTACGTCATATTTGAAGCTATGTAACCCTCTTCCTTTCTCGGTTGATCACGTCTAAAGAATCAGGTTGCATTCCTTCTTTAGTTTTTTAATTGAATTAACGACTCTTAGGTTTTCTTAATATTTGATTTCGTTTAATTTTGTATTTGACAATTTTGGTTGTTATTAGTTGGTTTTGACAGTGTAATATTAGGTGTGACCATTTGAATTGTCAAAATTATTGCCATGAAAGCCCAAATTAAGGTAACTTTACGGTCATGTAATATCGGAAAATCAGATGACATGAATTTTATTAGTTACGACGACAAGTCCCTACTGGTAATTCACCTAAAATAATAGAAGTGGTAATCATTTCATTTGTCTAGCCCTATTTCTATTATGCAATATAACAGTAACATTTGGTTTCTATGTTTTGCATTTACTGGTGCATGATTGGTTTGTTTATGTGATATGTTAATGTGTATGGACCTATGACATCAACAAAAAGAATTACAACAAGAAAATAAGCCTCCTTGAGCATTAGGCCTCTCGAAAAAACCCGAAACCCGTTCTATCCACCCAACCCGTTCCGAATTCGGGTATAATGGATCGGGTAGAACAGGTAACAGGTATGAACATTCGGGTAATAGGTTAACCCGATAATAATATAGGTCGGGTTTTAGGTATGAATATTTATTTCCGGGTATACCCGAATACCCGAATTCGTTTTTTAAATAATACCAAATATACAATGCAGTCACGTATGCACACTTCAAATAAAACAAAACTCTTCGTTTCCTTCTTATGAACGACGGCTCGACAGTTGATGCAAACTTGCAAAGGAAATACGACGCTGAAGCTGAAGTCCTGAACCGTCATCACAATTCTCAGTTTCTCTCTATCGCACGTAATGGAATTAAAAAAATACATAACATATTATAATGATTTGTATTGTTATTATAGATGTACTTGTTAATTGTATCAAGTATTTTCCTACCCAATTCTTTATTAAACCAACCAACATGTAAAAAAATATCAATAAGTGTCATTTAAGAAATTTTCGGGTATACCCGATAATTACCCGACCCGACCTCAAACCCAAATACCCGAAACCCGAAAAACCGAATTACAATATAGGTCGGGTATCGGGTATTATTTTCTTAAGCAAATACCCGTTCTATCCGACCCGTTCTACCCGAAACCCGAAAATTTTACCCGTTCGACACCCCTATTGAGCATTGGGTAAAGAAAACAGAACCATGAAACATCAGTTTATTAATGGGTGTTCTGTTTTTTTCTTTCCTTTTGCAGCAAAGAATAACCGAGACAAAGAACATTTGTCTTTTGGTGGTTGGTTTACTGTTTGTGACTGCATACCGACTCATTTGGATAAAAAACAAAAAGAGGCTTCAACAAATGGTTCTAAGCTCTTACCACCTCTTCATCAAAACCGTACTTTCAACTTTTTTTTTATTAGAGTATTGTATTTCAAAGTTTTTGTCCTGTTATAAAGTGAAAAAAATGCTTTCCGACCCATGTGAAGCATGGTCCCTACACTAGTTTAATGATAATAATAACACAAAACTTTAAAAATGGTCCCTATGGTTTTCAAAAATATCAAGTTTAGTCCTTAAGTTCAAAAAACCTCACAGATGGTCCCTGTGGTTTCAAAACTTTTAACATTTGGTCCTTCCGGCTAACTCCGTTAGCTTTTGGCCGTTAAGTCAGGGGCATTTTTGGCATTTCATTACACAGGGACCATTTATGAGGTTTTGCAATTACTTTTTTTTAAATAAATAAATAAATAGTATTTAATATGCAAGGGTCCTACCCCATCTATCTCTCTCTCTCTCTCTCTCTCTCTCTCTCTCCCTCTCTCTCTCTCTCTTACACACACACACATACCATTTAAACATCACCACCTCACCTCCTTTTCTCTCCCTCCTATCAATCTACTGCACAAATCGAAGAAAGAAACAAGGACAACCAAGGACTGCCACCCTCAACCACCCACCGGTGACCCCCATCGTCGTGAACCACCACAAACGGCCACCTCTCTCCCCTGATGTCGTTGCTTTGCACCTTTGAATATCAGATTAAAACAGTTGTACTGGAGAGCACCTCTAACCACCTTTTCCACTGAGCTTATTATCGTTCTCGGTAGTCTCTTTGATGTCTCCGGCGTTATCATTCTCGTTAGTCCATGTGGCTATTCCATGTCTGATTCCTTCATCGTAAGTAAACCTAGTCATGGAATGGAATTCCCAAATCCTGGTAACCAAACTCATTCATAATTTCATATTCTGTTATTGTATAGGTCCAAATTTGGGCAAGCAACAAAATACACAAGGAAGAAAGACCGTGTGTCGGAAAATGGGATGTGAAATCAATGCTCACATCTTCGTCGGAGCTTTGTGGTCCAGAAGAATGCAATACTCAAATGCCTCGCCACATCAAATTCGACTTCTGAAATCCTGTTCGATGTCGTATGATTTGGATAAAATTAAGTATCCAAAATGAATTTGAATCATTACAAGAATGAATTTGGACAAGATATTAACAAGGTATGAACATTGACTTATTGACGACTTTTTTGGCAATTTTAAGGGCAACAATAAAGGGATTGACGTATCCTATGAAATACTTTGAGAAAAGGTTAAGGCTAGCAATTGAGAAGACAGGGACTGATGAAAGTGCACTCTCAAGAATTTTGGCTACACGAGCTGAATTTGACATGAAATTTTATTGACTTTTGTTGCACACACCAACTGTTTGACAGATTGCTCCAAAGAATAATCATTTTCTAAAATGTTGTTTTTTGATTGGATTTGTTGTACAAATTGTAAACCCAAATGTGCATATTGACTCTCTGCAACATCACACAAGAAGCCATGGAGGGGAGCTGGAGAGGTTAGTAGAAAAACAGAGAAGAAAGGGAGGGAAAGAGCAGATCGGAAACATCACAACAGGTGGGGGTTCGTGGGTTTGCTCAGCAACCGAGGAGAGGTGGAGAAGTGGACAACCGGTTTTTCCGATGGGCTCTTTTCCTCGACTGTTAGCTAATCTCACCAGAGTTGTGGATTTTGGGAAAGCAAGGGTCGAGCAAAATAATAATAGAGGGTGTTTGGGGGTGATCCCTCTTAACGAGAGAGAGAGAGAGAGAGAGAGAGAAGATGGTGTGTGTGAGAGAGAGAGGGGTGGGACCCTTTAATATTAAATAGTTATATATTTTTTCTTTTTTTTTAAAAAAAAATAAGGTAAAACTTCATAAATGGTTCCTGTGGAAGTGAAATGACTGAATTGCCCTTCACTTAATGACCAAAAGCTAACGGAGTTAGCCATAAGGACCAAATGTTAAAATTTTTGAAACCACAAAGACCATCTGTGATGTTTTTGAACTTAGTGACTAAACTTGATATTTTCGAAAACCATAGGGACCATTTTTGAAGTTTTGTCTAATAATAATATAAAACTAATAAAAGAGCACCAATTCAGTAATTAAAAAACATGCATAATTATATATAGATACTAAGGGGCTGTTTGGTAGCCTTTTAATAGAAAAATTAAGAGGCAAGCTCTTAAAAATTCAGATTTAGACTGTTTGATAACATCTTAATTTTTGCCTCTTAAAAATTAAGAAGGCTCTTAATATTTCAGATGTGGGGCTGTGTCTGAAAATAAAAAAAGACACGTTTTTCCTTCTTTACCCTACGCTTCTTCCCTTTCTATTTCTTAACTCCTTTTCCATCCCACACCCTCCGATGATCTGCAACCTCCACCGGACCTTCGCCACCAGCTGGTCTCCTCCCATCTCCGATCAATTCCAGCGCTGACCACCTCCGACCGACTCTTGCACCGGCCACTACCGACTGATTCGATTTTTTCTTCCTTCTTTTGCCACAACTCAGCTTTGACCGCCAACATCTCTGATCCACACATCCCTGATGTCGTTGCACAACCCAGTAAATTGTATCGTACCGTCGCCCCTATAATTGACCTCTCACAACACCAACACCCCATCTGCTCCAAACGGTAAGATTCTCTTGTTCTTGATGTTCCGATGTTTTTTCTTTCCCTGAAATCGATCAATTTATTCTTTATTTTTTCCCTGAATTCGATTTTCACTAGGCCACTATATTATTTGTGGATTTCCTGGTTAGCATACATATTCCTTGTGCTTGATTTTCTTTTTGCAAAATTTCAATAATCAACTACACATACAAACAAATTGTGAAATGTGAAGATTTGAAATATATTGTGTACAACTATTTCTAATGCGTGAAGATTTGAAATATGATGACCATCAAAGTTATTTTGATTTTTTTTTTAAAATCATATGACCATCTAGATGCTGAAATTATGTGTATTTCTTGATGTTGGAATCTGATGTGGTGATGTTTGGAATGCTTGGAGTGTTTGAAATGCCAAAATGATATGTGTATTTCTTGATGTTGGAATGAATGATGCTTGTGTGGTTATTAAAAGAATTGGGTAGAGGTTATGGGTTCTGTTTTTTTGTTGTTTTGTAGGGATGTTTTCATTGAGCTTCTAGATGAATTTGCTGATGAAGTGAATTAGTTAAAGAGCTTAAAGTTTGAACATTCATTTGGTGAACCTCATATCATTGATTTGGAATAACTATTAAGGGTTTTTCTTTCAAGAATGTGTTTGTACTTGTCATGATATGTAAGAAATAGCAATCTATTTTTGTTGATCTAGTTATTATAGAGTCAAACTTTCACCTCTTCCTATTAGACCATTGTATTTTGAAAAATCTATTTAGTTAAAGCAATGTCTTCCAAAACAAAGCAACTTTATTTGCTAATTGGATTAGATTTGTCAAATATTTATGTTTGATTTTGATTTTTGTTTTATTTGGATTTTGTATGGTGTTTATATATATATATATATATATATATATATATATATATATATATATATATATATATATAGGCTTAGGTTATTTTGTTTTTACTAAGTATTGTGTGCCAGAATGCACAAATCTGGACCACTGGATGAAATTAATCAATGAACATGATTTGAGGGTGTATGATATTACAATGGGGTAGCATATAATCACACAATTTTAAGTAAAAGGGTATTTTGGACTGATGCTCTTTCAGGATTTTATTCTAATAGAATAAAAGGAAATTTTCGGATTTTTAGGGATGATTAATTCTCCTAATTTTAAAAAAATCTGAATTTTTTAATTAATTCAATTCAGTTTTTTTACCGATTTTATTCTGTCGGAATATTATTTGTTAGAATGATGCTCTTTCAGAATTTTATTCTAATAGAATATTATTTTGTTAGAATGATGCTCTTTCAGGATTTTATTCTAATAGAATATTATTGAAGAAAAACAAAATTCTTGAATCAATTCTAATATATTCTTATACATCCAAACTTAATACAAATTCATACATATTCTTACATTCTAATATAATTATACATATTCTTAAAAAATATCAAGGTCTTCAACGCCTTCTTCCAGCCATTCCTATCACAAATACAACAAAAACTAATACTTGTTAAAAACATGTTACTTACAATTATCTATAACTTAATATATTCTGGTAGAATACATAGAATATGATATAATACATATAATACATTCTGGCAGAATACATCGATTTTATTTTGATAGAATAAATTCTAATAGAATATATAGGATACATTCAAAGGTATTGTATTTACAGCTAGTAATTCTGATAGAATGCATACCACAAGGTTAAATTCTTTAAATACTCTTTCAGGCATTTCAACAAACACTTGTTAGACATTATCATCAAACAAGTCAAAAACCATATTTGATTTACATGCAATAGTTTACATATAAACATAATTTCCAGCAACATGATTTAGAATGCATACCACAAGGTTCAAAGAGTAAATTAATTTGTGTTGATGAAAAATAAAAAGGCACAAACAACCTAGAATTGTATTCCATAACCGAAAGAAAAACAAAATATATGGCAGACCCATTAAAGCATAGAAACGTGGTTTTCATATAAGATTTGAAAACATTATTTTGTAAGAAAGAAGAGCATCCACATAAAAGAAATTGAAACTCATCAACTTGAACACATGAATAAAGAATGTTACTTACATTATAAGGCCCTGATACAAGAGCTGGAACCATACGAACTAACATCTTTTTCTATGCTTCCTTCTAACTGAAAGTGACTCATTAAGCAAGAAAGAACAAATTTTGGAATAAGTAACTGAAGTTTACTGAGACATTTTAACAAACAGTTGGTGTGCAAATCAGAATATTTTCAATTCCACCAACAGTTCAATAAGACAGCAAGTTGGTCCTTCTTTCAGGAATTTAGTCGAGCACCTTATGTGCATAGCTCGTTCTTCTTGAACACGTTAGGTTTTCCCTTACTTAACCATCCAATTCAGCGAACAATAGAAATAGATAATTTGAATCACAAGTTAACGATCCATAATTAATGAGAATTAAAGAGTTGTTACCGGATAAATAAGGGCATACGAAGTTTGCTCAATTTGGAAAAGCTCTAAAGAACCGATCATCGAAGGAACTGTAACAATGATGCAGAAACATACACTGACTTCTTGTGACTCCAAAATTGCCTTGATGTTGAAGCTAGCTTCGATTGGAGATGGAGCCACCGAGAATAACATCTTCTTAATCAATGGAATGGGGAAACAGATTTCCAGCAAGAGGTTTGACTACCTCTTTTGATCAGACGATCTTCATTCGTCCATAAGAAAATTGGAGGAGGCATATTACGTATGATATAGAAGGCTAGGGTTAAATAGTTGGTCAAATAGATTTTTATGGCAATTTCCATGAATAAAGGGATTTTATTTTAATTAGCATGCTAAAGTTACATAATTACCCTTATTACCATTTTTTATTATTTAATTATTCATAAATTCCTATTGGTGCACATGGGCACACAATAGTTGTCAAAAACATTTGAACCTATCTCTCTCTCTCTCTCTCTCTCTCTATATATATATATATATATATATATATATATCCAAGAAGTTGGTCCAGTTATATTCTAAACAAAATCATTTTTTCAGAAAAAATAATACAAAAGGGTAAAATGATCATTTTTATAATTCAGACAACAATTTAGAGGTTCCAACCAAACAGCATGATACAAATTTAGATCTCTTAAAAATTCAGACCCTCTTAAAAATTTAAACCTATTAAAAATTCAGATCCTGCCAAACAGCTCCTAATTCTAAAAATTCTAAAGTACCACTTAAACGATTGAATGAATTTTTTTTGTTTTTTTGTTTTTTTGTTTTCTTTTTCTGCTTTGTTGTTTCTTTTTTTAATTATTATAGACAAAACTGCAAAAATAGTCCCTGTGGTTTGCATTTTTTCAGGAAACAAGTCCAAACAGTGACTTTTTTTGATTCGTGGTCCTTTTGGAGTGGTTTGTATGTGAAAATGGTCCCTCCGAAAATTAAAATGACTATAATACCCTTGGGGTATTTATTTTTCATTTTTCTTTCATTATTCTTAAAATTTAATATTTATTTATTTATTTTAACAATTAAAAAAATAAAAAAGGTCCCACCTCTCTCTCTCTCTCTCTCTCTCTCTCTCTCTCTCTCCGGTGATCTAGAGCCAGCCACCACACCCCGTCGGCCACTAAAATGCCACCGTAAATCCCACACACTACACCACCCCTGCTGCCACCACCTTCTCTCCACCGGAAACAACCATCCCAACCTCACTCGACTGCTGGAGCAACCTCCGACCACCAAACCACCTCCTTTCCCTCCCCCCTCTCTTTCATGTTCGTTACCAGCATAATAGAAACAGGGCAGCAAGGTCGCCTCCTGATTGCTATAGGAAATAACCATCCTAACCGAAATTAAGCCACCAAACTGAGAAAAAGGTTGTTGATTGGAATACGTAGAACAAACATCAACCAAATACGGTCCCTGTGGTATCGCTGCTGATAGGAAGTCGGAAATTGCAGAGGGAAACATGGGTTCATCGCTTCCCGTGGTTTAAAGAACCCCAACTCTAGTATACCCTAAAACAATCACACAACAATAAACTCAAAATTTTGATCCAACACAAAATCTGATCATCGGGGATAAAATAAAATGTTACCTGAAGCCGATTAAGAACGCAAGTGTATTTCCCCCAAAGCTCCAGCCGACGGGATTCGACAGATTGGGAAGAAAGGAACGAAGGCAGCTAACGGGAAGCTCCGATGATGGCTGAGAAATCACGAGGAAAGGATGGGCAGTCGATCTATTGTGAGCCCTCCATGGTTCATTTGCTTCCCAGTAGCAACACACGACAACACATGAAGGGGAGGAGGAGCAAAGCAGTCGCCAATCAAGGTGGTGTTTTTGGATCTTTTGGAGAGAATGACGATCTTTAGGGGTGTTTGGGTGGCGTTGCTCGGCCGGAAGAGGAAGGAAAAGGCAGCTCCGGTGGCCGACAACCTTCCTTGGTCGGTGGTGAAGAAAAATGGGAAGGAATGAAGGAATGTCTTCTACCTGATGAATGAAGGAATAAGAGAGAGAGAGAGAGAAAGGTGGGCCCTTTTTATTTTTTTAATTGCTAAAATAAATAAATAAATATTAAATTTTAAGAATAATGAAAGAAAAATAAAAAATAAATACCCCAAGGGTATTATAGTCATTTCAATTTTCGGAGGGACCATTTTCACATACAAACCACTCCAAAAGGACCACGAATCAAAAAAAGTCACTGTTTGGACTTGTTTCCTGAAAAAATGCAAACCACAGGGACAATTTTTGCAGTTTTGTCATTATTATATTGTTGGTGGAACAGTTCTTCTACCATCTACCATCTATAGTTGGTGGATTACACATGTTAGCAACAGTTCTTCTACCATCTACCATGGCGTTCTTCCGCTGCTCTATGAACTACGTGTTTGGTTTCTGTTTCCATCGCACGGTATACCACCGCGTACTCCCTCCCACTGGTCTGATACCACCGCCTCTCTCATCCGATATCTTCTAGATTGCCTTACCAGTTACCCTTATCTATCGGGTCCTTCCACACTACATGTCTTCTCGATTGTTCTTGTTTCTTTTTTCTGCTTCACCCCCGCTCTTCCTCATCCGTTCTCTGATATCGCCACCGCCAAGGATTCACCGAATCCACCTCTTCATCCCTTCTTTCTATTGATTTCTTCATCTCTTTCCCTCTGTAAATGTCGAGAATTTGGTCGGGGTTAACAACCATGGTCAGAAATCGGATGTTATAGGAGCTGATAAACCTTGAAATCAAGCATCTTTCCACCGGAAGTAACAGAGACGATGGAGACGATACTTTTGAGGTCTTCATCGACTTAATTTGAAACCTTGATTTGAAGGCTATCCATCTAATTTCTCTTCAAGTCGACGACTTTTTGGTTTCTGGTGAGTATACTTCCGATTAGATTTACGTTATTTTTGCATTTCGTGTTATATATGCTGGATTTTAACGGAATCCAATAGTTCCCGTTTCATAGTCTTCGTCGATTGGAACATCAAATCGTTGATTTAGCACTAGACGTGTGTAGAAGGTAGTGTTTGGAAGCTTAGGATCCCGAGATTCTCATCCCAGCAGCTTCACCATCACAAGAGATTCCACCCTTCCATCAAAAGGTTTCAACATCGCAGATTTCCTCCACCATTGCAATCATTGCTGTGTTCACGGGAATAAAAAAAAAGGGGAGGACGGTAGGCGATGCACCACCGGACAGGGCAGGCTTTTGCAATAAGTACCTAGGAACTTGATTTAGGTACGTCTCAACCCAAAATTTTCTAAATTTCATGCTTTCGATTTAATTTAGGTATGAACATGCATAATTTTTCCTTCAAATTCTTGAAAACTCTCCGATTTTTTCATATACATTTTGATTGGGAATGAGTTCCAACTCAAAATGATGATCAAAATTGTTGTCTTTCTCTTCCTAACACGAATTAGGTCGAAATGATTTTAAAGGACGATGAATTTGGTTTCATTCATGATTAATGCGTGTTAAATAAAAAAATATATGAAAATTCAGGGAGAAATCTTCGCCATTTCTGCATTTACACTATTCATGGCTTGCTTCTAATAAATAATGCAATAATCAGTTGTAGGTGTTATGTTGAAAATACCACATTTCTATGGATTTTGAGAGTTGAATTTGATGTGTTTAGAAATGAAGATGGAGTTTGAAGGTCGGTTTGGCCAAGCTCAAAGGCAGAAATATGATTGCCTTCTTTTCGGTACATATAACACAAATCGTCTTTTGCTGCTATTTTAATCATTTTGTTGACTGTAATTAGTTAAATTTACTTACGGAATTTATCATCTGTACAGATCAAGATGATACTCTTTACCCTGTTAGTGCTGGATTGGCAGCTGGAGTTCTCAAGAACATGAAAGGTTTTGTTCGACACCTCACATTTGATAAAGATCCACTTCCTGAGATCAATAATAATTCGTTTGTTGATCTGTAAAATTGCTTCGTGTTTGATCAAATCTGCAGATTATATGGTTGAAAAGCTTGGAATCTTTGCAGAAAAGATCCCTGAACTATGTAATTTGTTGTACAAAAACTACGGGGCCACAATGGGAGGCATTCGGGTATGGGATTTTCACTTTTTCTTTTAATGATCTTAATTTTGGATTTTGCCTTCTGAATATCTGATAAAATCTTATGTTCTTGATTCGTTTAGTAGAAAACCCAATTGCTCTTTACATGCCCGATGAAATGCCTCAATGATGCTTCAACTTGATTAATAGAAGCATGTGTGAAATTAATAGCAACATTCGTGATGTACAAATGCTATTGTTCATAAAAGTTTATAACTATTATTTATGATAAATTTTTATGCAGGTGGGGCTTTGTGCGATTTGGAGAAGAAAAAGGGCATATAGTCTATATTTTCTTTTGAGGTTGGACATAAAAAAGGATGAAGGAGAATATAATAGCTTTTGGTATGCACATAAAAAGATTCAAAAAATCAAATTGGTATGTATTTCTTCATTTAATTATATTGTTTTATTTATGTTGCTTTAATTCTTCAATTTAGAAATTACTTGGGTGATCAGGTTGAGTTATTGTTAGTTATGTATTTGACACCAAGAAACTTGGAATTTCCAAAAAGAAATATGAAAGTCTGAAGCCTAAGATAACTGAATTAGAGTATCAATTACGTGACTTAAAAGTAGACAGACACGAAAATGATAGGGACACAAAACTGTCACAAGTAGTTGAGGCTTCAGGCTCTCAGGCGGTTCTTTCCTGCTGTTCATGTTCTTATGACTGAGCTGTCCGCGGAGCCTTACTAAAAATACTATCACGCATTTCTTAAAAGGGCGGAATGAATCAAAGATCCCAATTGTAGCTTTTTGATGCCTTATTATGTTCTTTTCTGTCGCATTCCTATGTTTTTTTAATAAAATCTTTGGCTGTTAAAAAAAACTTATATAAAATGACAGTTGCAACTCTCATAGTAATAATAGTATGCAAAAGAAGGAAGCAATGATGAAGGAAGAAAAGGGCAGTAAAGAAGGTAGCTAGAGACCCGGACCTCGGCTTGTGGTGGGTGTTAGGTGATGTACGTTCTGACTTTTTCAACTGCTTTTTTGTTACATTGTATTATTTCCTATTAATAATAACAAACGGCAAGCTTTTATTTTGTTTTTATTATGTATGTATTTTATTCCTATAATATCAATTATATTACTTTCTCATCTAAGTGAATATAACAAACTATTTAAGGTTGAAGGATGCGGACAAAAGGGAACTGAAGTATAAAATGTCAACAACTTAACGATTATTCATGCTTGATGTTAATTTACTGCCAGTGGAATTTGGAAAATAGAATTTCCTTATATAGTCTAATTTTATTTAGCGTACAAACTTGAATATTTACCGGCAGCTATCGTTGATTATGAGGGTTCCCAACGTCGTGTGTTGTGAATTGTAAAACGCTGATTCTTGATTCACGCTTTCTTTTTTCAATTTAATTTGTGTTGGGCCACGGATTATACCCTAAAAAATATTTGGCTACTAAAACATAGGATATTGGTTTTAAAAATATGATTTTTATATATAATTTTTTTTCAAGATAAGTTCATTTAATTTTAAATAAGGTAGGTAAAAAAAGGTGGGTCAAGTGACCCACCATGATAATATACAACATCGCCATTTTATATATATGTGGAGTACTAGGTGTAAGATCCGTGTACTACACGAGTTTATTAAAAATAAAAATTTAATATCAATATCCATTTTAGAGCTCTCATTAATTATGTTATTTATTATATTATAAATATATCATTTCTTTTTCAAGGAAGTATTTATTTCTCTCAATATTATAACCAAAATAAGTTATGATATGTGAACAAATCAGAAAATTCCATGTAGACATAAATAAATTCTAAAAATCTATTAAGATGCAATGTGTCCAAATCAATGAGAACATGACATGTGGCACAGAATGGGTTTTATTTATTAGTATAGATGTGTGTTGTAGTTATAATACACGCAGTTCATACACCGCACTTTTCAGCTCTCTCATTTTGTCCCTCTTTCAGAATCTGTCTAAATTAGAGTTATATATTTGTTCCTGATTGTTCTTTGAAAATAGTTGTAGATTAGGGTTGAGTGTATTATATTGAGAGTAGTGTAGGTTTTTTGTATAGAGTTTTCATCTACAAGTAAATGAAAACCTTATGATTCGTTGTCCTAAATTGATATAAGAATCGTTTGGGAATATTTGGTTTCTATATGTTTTTACAACAACCTCAACCCCCATCGCCTTTCACCTCGCCATCACAAACCATGAGCAGTTGTGGTATACGTATCACGACCACGAACCCTAAAAGCATATGAGGAGAAAGAGGGTAGAAGAAAGGTGATTGGTCATTGTAGTTCGTTCTCCCCACCACAATTCCCCATGACAACGACGAAGAATGGAGGGTCGGGATAGTGTGCATGATCATTTTAATTGATTTTATTATTTAAAAACTTATGTATTTACATTTTTCGTTTCACATATTATTTGATATTTTTCAATTTTTCCCTTTTTACATATAAAAACTATTCTAATATTTGAAATATATATATTTTCAAATTAATGCATTAAAACTTCTGACTGATTTTTTATTAGTTTTTAGATGTTACATGGTTGAGTAGAAGGCGTCTAGTGACTAACCGTTGCATATATAACGAGTTAAATTATATAAGCCGATAGAATTTAAACACTTAGAAAAAGTTATATCTTAATGGAAACTATTTAAAGAATGATTAATGTTGTATTAATAATATTAACCTATTGTGTTATCATATTAATGGTATTTAACAACTTTTTTATGATTATTAGCCATTTTTTTAAAATTTAACGGATTTATAATTTAAGATCTCTAATTAATCGCCGACTAATCTTTGATTAGGCGGACTAATCTATAGTTGCTAGTCAACTGACTTACTACCGCTTAGTGACTTTTATAATTTTGGTATTATTATGTTCTATTCTTGGGATGAGCATCGGTCTGGATCCGGACTGAACCAGACTGAGATCCAATTTAGTGAGAAATGAAGAACCAGAACTAGATCGAATATTAGGGAAAAAAATTACCCATTTTTTTTATTAAAAAATTGCAAGGATAAATTAGATGGTTTTTTAATAACTAATTAGGAAAAAATGGATATTAGTTTTTATAAAATATAACATAAATTTTGTTGTGTCTAGATTCGAAGAAAAGATATAAATATGGTTATAAATGAACTAAACATTCGTGAATTAATCGTATTCGTTCATTTGTTTTGTTAAACTTAAACGAACGAATATAAACAAAACTTCTTTCATGTTTATTCGTTTCGTTTACAATCTTAGTTACCAAAGTTTTCAACTTACTATTATTGTGAGTTCGCGTAAAGATACTAATATTTACTATTATATAAAGCATTTTAAACATTTCTTGAAATTTAAGAGGTACCAAACCTACTACATCATGTACAATCAACTTATGCTTACTATTCAATACACATATTACGATTGTATATTTAGTAGGTTGAAAATCTTAATTGGTATTAAATCTATAACCATTATATCATGGTGTTTGTATATTTAGGAGGTTGAATAATGGGAAATCTTCAGAAAAGTTTCAATATTTTCGGAAAATTTACACTTTAGTCCCAAGATTTTTTTTTTGAACGAAAAAATCCTGAAAATTGGCAAAAATTTGCAGTTTGACCCTTTTTGACCGATTAAAACCGGTACCAAATTAATTTGGGACTATTTCGTAAACTAACCCAAAATATTGGGATTTTTCTGTAAACAAAAAATATTCGGATTTTTCTGTAAACAAAAATATTAGGACTTTTTTACAAACAAAACCCTTATTATTGTTATTATTATTATTATTATTATTATTATTATTATTATTATTATTATTATTATTATCAAAGAATCGAGTATGAATATTAATCAAAGTTTGAAATCAAAAATATATGCAAGATTGAACACCGATGTAAATAAGATCTTGTTTCAGCTCAATATTACGCTTTCAGGTTTACACAGTGCAAAATAGACAAGACTGTAAAAACCTTATCTAACTCTAGTAAAGACTCTTATTTATAGGAGAAGAAAAGTGTACAAAAAATATACTAAGGACTAGACAATTAAGCTTCGAATAATGTGCCTTAGTAAAATAGATTACAGAGAATACGAAGACTGTACTATATACGAAGACCTATGACACTTCGACTAATTACAACCAATTTAGCCCTTACAATCTCCCCTTTGTAATCATAGTCGAATTCTTCATTTTGTAATCAATTGGATCGAGTACATCATCACTCTTCGTATCTCAGTGTACCAAGCAATAACCTTCCTGATTTCCTTATTGTCTCCTTCATTATTCTTCTGACACTTATTCATACGAACAATTAAATTCGTATACTGTGAAGTAGCATATCTTTCCACTTCGCATGTTTGGAACAAAAAACCGTTTAGCTCTTCCAGCTTTATCCTTTCCAGAAAAAACTACTCCAAATGGCTTTAAACAAATTTCTCCATCATCATACTCTTTCAACTCTTCTTGCTTCTTTGTAGGAGCCATTGGAGCAGTGATATCAATTCCCTTTGCAGTAGCTAACTCCACATCAGTTTGTGCCAAACACTCAAAATAATTTTCAATGAAAATCTTGATGTGTTTAACTCCAAGCTGGAATACATCAGGCTCTGTTTCTTGAAGATGAGAAAATGACTTATCTTTCAAAATTAATGCAACTTGTATAAGATCATACAAGTTCATTATAGGAAAATCAACAATAGTAAATTCACTAATTTTTCCATTTGACCTGATCTCCGTATATTTGAGATTTTGAATAATGCCTTCGAAAATCACATATCTTTTTATGCTTATCACTTTCTTGATTTTCACCAGTGACCAAACATCTTCTGGAGCTTTTGCTAACACCACATGAAATCGAATTTTCATCTGCTTCCCTTCATCCTTATCTTTACAAACTATTTCAGCTTTAAACTGAGGCATTATGAACATCATTTTATTCACTGGAAAGTCAAGCTGACTTGCATCAATGTTCGTAACCACATAACTTTGTTTTGGCACCTTTTCAAAAGAATACATGTGGTCAAATGACACCTTGGCTTCAATTGTTTCATAGTTGTATTGCTTTGCTGGATCTCCTTTCTCTAAGCCTGGAGGATCTTGTGCACGAAGAGTCATTACACTTTGAACCATCCTCATCTTTTCCAACTCAGCATCAACCTCAACCTTCTTTTCTTCCTTAGATTTTTTAATAAGTATGCCTTTACCTTTGTCATTCGAACTAGAATCTCCCACCACTACCTTATATTTCGAAGCACCTCCAGCTGCCTCACCAAAAACAACACATTTCTGTACTGGTCTGATCATAGGTATTGTTGTAACAATAGTCGAAGTGACTAGACCAGCAGACATTACAACAGGCTTCGAAGATGGGATCTTTGAAGAAAACACTTTTCCCACCACCTTCAAATCTTCACCATTTACCTTCGCTTCTTCACCAGCCTTCGTACGTTCAATTCTCTTTTCTCCCCCTTACACCCCTGTGAAAGCAGGTGGGGCATCTGATATGGCTGGTAGAAGACTTGAAATGCGAGATAAAGGAGATAATTGTTTTTGAAGGATGGCTTCGAATTGAATAAACTTCTGAGACAAATATTCTTGAGTGATTAAGGATGAGGAAACAAGTTTGACAGACAATTCTTTCAAATCCTTGAGATACAAAAGCACTTCAGCAAAATTTGTATTTTCCATTGTAGAAATTTGAGTAAGTTGAGGACTCATTCTTTCATAGAATTTGACAAATTTAGTGACCGCATCACAAATTATGTCAACCTTTTTATGTAAAGAAGAATAGTCATGTTGAACAGTTGCAACCTCCTTTTGCAGATCCTCACGAAGTTCACGAATTTGCATATTCACATCTTCCCTTACTTTCTTCACATCTTGAGCAAAAAAAACATGTCTCTCTTTAAGCATCGTTTTTAGTTTCTTAATCTCTTCCGAAACTTTTGTAGTTAGAGAACTTATACGAAGTTCGTTAGTATTATCAGTTTGATCAACTTTTTCTAATATCCTTCTATTGGAGTCCCTAACCATCCCAGATACTTTGTTAATAATCCTTGTTTCAACCAGCTTCAACATTAAATCTACTTCCAAGCTTGAAACTGAGAAACCACCACCAAGATCAGCTTGTGATTGAATAATAGTATTTAACTTTGAATTCAAGATTTTGAACTGCTTCATAGTCATCAGCATATGATACGGAAAAAATCAGCTTCATCATCATCAAATGCTAAAGCCTCAAAGGTTCCTCTAAAACCTTCGTTATCCGTATTAGTTTCCATTACAATGGTTTATTCAACAGGTGAAATGGGTTTGGGTGGATCAGTTGATTATGAAGAAAATATGGAAGTGAAAGGTTGATTTATGATGTTTATGAATGTTGGTGAATCAGTGGTAG